GGAGACACACTTGACTATGTTGCTACGGGCTCGCAAAGGGTTGATTTAACTGGAATGCCGGAAAAATTTTCTGGGCATTTTTTCAAGCGTTGGCAACAACATATGAAAATTTGGTTAATCACCAAGGGCTTGCTCTCGGTAATTATGACGGTGTGTCCCCCCGTTGTTGAATCAGATCCCAAAAGTCTTGAACGCCAAGCTTTATGGCTTGAGAGGGATGAAATTGCAAAAGGCATGATTTTGTTGGGTCTCTCCAACATGTTATTTGATGTCTATTGCACCCTCCACGGCACGGCTAAGGACCTTTGGGATGAGTTGGATAAGAAATATAATACTGAGGACCACGGTCTTGAAAAGTATATTGTTTCTAAATTCCTACGATTTGACATGAAAGAAGGTAAATCGGTGTTAGAACAGACACAAGAATTTGAGCTTATCTTACATTCTCTTCGTGAAGCGGATATGGAATTGCCTGAAAAATTTAAAGTGATGGCGGTCATAGAAAAATTTCCCAAATCATGGGAAGATTTTGGTATGACTTTAAAACATAAAATGAAAAAGATCACTTGGAAATCTTTGATGCATTCCATGCCATTACTGTTGAGGAGGAGCATAAGAAAGCGGGTTATATTGCGCCTGTTGAATTTCAACCGAAGGCTCATGTCATAACTGGGGGAAAGCAAGCACATAATTCTAAAAATAAACAATCACCATCTTTTAAACCCATAAAGGCCAAACTAAAAATTGCAAAGAAACCAATGGCAAACCGACCATGCTGGAACTGCGGACAGATGGGGCATTGGGCCAAATTGTGTCCTAATAAACAGGCCAAGGCTCAATCTGGGGGACCTCAAGTCAACATGGTGACTGGAGGGACTAGTTCTAATGGGTACGTTTCTATTAATCCTCAAATTTTCACTATTTATAATTCCAATGAGTGGCTAATAGATACGGGAGCGAATGTGCATGTATGTGCTGATAAATCGCTCTTTGTTTCTTATCAGCCTGCGGTTGGAAGAACAGTGATGATGGGGAACACAAGTGCTGCAAGTGTGCAAGGAATTGGAAAAGTAGAAATTAAATTTCCTTCGGGAAAAATTCTATCTTTGCATGGGGTGCATCACGTTCCCGAAATTAGAAGGAACATTGTTAGTGGTTTCATTCTTGTTAAGGAGGGTTATGAGCTATCTTTTAAATTAAATAAAGTTGTAATTTTATTTGGCGGAACTTTTATTGGCAAGGGTTACTTGTCAGATGGACTTTTTAAGATTGTGGTTAATTATTTTGAATTAAATTATGTATCTGAGAATTGTGATTCTTCTTGTTTATGGCATTGTCGTTTGGGTCACGTTAATTTAGATTCTGTTAAAAGAATGATGAATTTAAATTTAATCCCTAAGCACTCTATTGATAAAACTAAGAGATGTATAGTATGTGCTACTACTAAACAAGTAAGAAAACCTTATCATTCAATTGATAGAAATTCAGAATTACTTGATTTAATTCATACCGACATTTGTGAGTTTAATGGAGTGCTTACTCGTGACCAAAAGAAATACTTTATCACTTTTATTGATGATTATTCTAAATATTGCTATGTGTATCTACTTAAGGGTAAAGATGAAGCTCTTGAAAAATTCTTAATTTTTAAGAATGAAATAGAGAATCAAACTGACAAGAAAATTAAAAGGTTAAGATCTGATAGGGGAGGAGAGTATACTTCTAATTTAGTTGTACTAGAATGCCAAAAATATGGTATAGTACATGAGGAAACACCTCCTTATTCACCACAATCAAATGGAGTAGCTGAACGGAAAAATAGAACTTTTAAAGATATGATTAACAGTTTATGTGGGGGGAAGCCTTGAATACGGGATGCCATATTCTGAATAGGATTCCCATGAAACATAATTAAAGATAAGTGTCCATTTGAACTCTTGACGGGCAGAAAACCAAGTTTGAAATATTTTAAAGTGTGGGGCTGTCTTGCAAAAGTATTAGTCCCTGAACACAAAAGAAAGAAACTTGGACCTAAAACTGTTGATGCTATTTTTATTGGATATGTTGAACATTCTTATGCATTGAGATTTTTGGTTATTAAATCTGAAATTTCCGGCATAGATGTTAACACTATTGTAGAGCTTCGTGATGCTACTTTCTTTGAAGATGTTTTTCCAATGAAAACAGGTGTGCCCCAAAATACTTCTTTTAAAAATCAAGAAACCACATTTAATTCAATTCCTGGTCAAGTGGAAACGATGACAAATGTGGGGGTAGAATCTGGTAGTTCTAGTCATATTGATTTTGAATCAAATGATATAGATGAGCCTAGAAGAAGCAAACGAGCTAGGATCACTAAAGATTTTGGAAGTGATTTTATCACTTACAATATTGAGGGTGATCCAATTTCCTTTAGAGATGCAATGGTCACGTCTGAGGCCATGTATTGGAAGGATGTCATTAAAAATGAAATGGACTCTATTGTTCAAAACGGAACATGGGAGCTCGTTGACCTTCCTCCTGGTTGTACCACTATTGGATGTAAATGGATTTTTAAAAGGAAGTTAAAACCAGATGGAACCATTGATAAATATAAGGCCAGATTAGTTGCTAAGGGTTACAAACAAAAAGAAGGTATTGATTTTTTCGATACATATGCTCCGTTTGCAAGAATGACCACAATAAGAATGCTTATAGCAGTGGCATCCGTATATGGTCTTAAAATTCATCAAATGGATGTTAAGACAGCTTTTCTTCATGGTGACCTTGAAGAAGAAATTTATATGGATCAGTCTGAGGGATTTGTGGCAAAAGGCAATGAGAGAAAAGTTTGTAAACTAGTTAAGTCTTTATATGGACTTAAGCAAGCCCCTAAGCAATGGAACGGAAAATTTGATAAAATAATTTCTTCGTTTGGATTTACTCTTATAGATGTTGATCAAAGTGTTTATTATAAATGTAAAGGTGATGTAAGTATTATTTTATGCCTATATGTTGATGATATATTATTATTTGGCACTAATGATAATATTATTTTTGAGACTGAGTCATTTTTGAAAACAAAGTTTGAAATGAAGGATATGGGGGTGGCGGAAGTAATTCTTGGGCTAAAGTTGAATAGATCAACTGAAGGCATTTCTATTTCCCAGTCTCATTACATTGGAAAATTAATTGAGAAAATTTGGATTTAAAAATAGTAGAATTGCTAAAACACCATATGATCCTTCTGTAGCTTTGTATAAAAATGAAAGTGGTGTTCCTGTGTCTCAATTAAAATATTCTCAGATGATTGGTAGCTTGGGTTACTTAGCTAACTGTACTAGACCTGATATTGCATTTTCAGTGTCTAAACTTAGTCGGTACACTTGCTGTCCAAACAGAACTCATTGGGAGGCTTTAGATAGAGTATTCAGATACTTGAAAGGAACTATTTCCTTGGGTTTGCATTATGGTAAATATCCTCCTGTTCTTGAAGGATATAGTGATGCAAGCTGGATAGCTAAAAACTCCGGGAGTTATGGGTGTACCGGGTATGTGTTTACGTTTGGTGGTGGGGCTGTTGCTTGGAAGTCCACTAAACAAACTGTACTTTCTCGGTCTACTTTTGAGGCTGAATTATGTGCGTTGGATACTACAGGAATTATGGCTGAATGGTTTAAGGGACTAATGTCCGAGTTACCTATATTCAGCAAGCCAATTCCACCTATTTGTTTGCATTGTGATAGTAAGAGCACAATTGCAAAAATTAGGAGTACCAAGTATAATCAAAAGACTAGGAGACACATTCAAGTTAGATTAAAAACTATAAGGAAATTTGTGTCTCAAGGGGTGTTCGCTGTTGATTTTGTTGGATCCAAAGATAATACAGCGGACCCGTTAACAAAAGGACTTGATTTAAATCAAGTGATAAAATCAAGGTTAGGAATGGGACTGAAACCCAATAATTATTCATCTACGGTAGCAACCCAACCTATCTGAGTGGAGATCCCATAAAGTAGGTTCAATGTGGTATAAACAAACCGTAGAGTGAATTGTGCATCTCATTAAAATAATTTTATGAGTTCCATTCCTTGAAAAGCCTTAGAGATGCTAAAATTGCTAAGTTAGTAAGAGTTAAAGACTCTGAATGGGATCGAGCTTTAATAGCAGAGTGTTAGCAATGCACTCTTGGAGATGCCCAACTATGAGAATGTTATTGTGTGGCCGCAATAAGAGAATGTGGGTTTATTCTCGATGACATTCTTGAGACAGGATCGGACGCACGGCCGTAAAGCGTCACCCCTATAGATCGTTGCCATGCCGCTAGTGTGTTGCTTTTATCCCACACCAACACAATCAAGGTTCGAGTTCAAGAACTCTGTTCACTCAGTTCCTGTGGGGGTTAGGGGTAAGAGCTTAGAATTTGGTTCAAACCGGAAGGTACCATATTCGAAAGCACACTATATCTTTAGAATCTACAACTATGGATTTGTGGGGGATTGTTAGAAAAATGATGATACAAATAAATATGTATATATATATATATAAAGTTTGAAGTGGTTTATTATACATCAAAGTACAATTTATATATTTGGATATCTATCATTCTTTTATATTAGAATCCATAGTTGTAAAAATTGTGAAGTGGTGTATTATTGTCCTATTATCCTACTTTTATCAAAGGAGAAAATTGGTCGATAAAATATGTTATATGATAAGGAACATTGTTTAAGTATCATATAAGGTGACTTGATACATTATGTAATTTGTGTATGCCTGCTCAGCAGCTCAGGTATGAACGATTAAATATGTCAAGTATGACAACCATGTAATTAGGATTGCTGGACAATTAAATTTCAAATGGGAATAATGAATTCGAAATTTGAATTTCGAAATTATTTGCTGCATGGCCGGTTAAGTAAAGCAATTACTGATCCAAAACATTAGGATCGTAACTGACGTACTTAATTATTTGGATGAGCGTTGCCACTTCTGTGAAATCAATTTCATTAAATATGAATTGTTTATGTATCTGATTTCCAACGTGAGTATTTGCTCTCCTGGAGAGTTGATCCTTAGAAAAATTCCTTCCTTCACTCACGTAGAAAAACAAAAAGTAGCAGTGCAAACCATTGGCTTTTCTTTTTCCTTTGTGGAGTCTTTCAGCTTGATTTTTCACGAAAGATATACTTCCTTTCGTATTCAACTCGGAAGAGTTAATTCTTACTCTTGAATCCTCATCTCTTTAATCGGCGAATTTGGCAACGGTCGAAGGTTTCAGTCAAGGTAGCTACAAGTCTGAAACGTGGTAGGATTATCCTGGGAGCGAGCTAGTCAGACCCGCCCGAATAGCTATCGGGATACGGGGGCTATCTTTCTTCAAGGCCAGTCCGTTTTAACGGGCGATCCTGCGATAAGTTTACTTATCCTTTCTTTATTTATTTTAATATATTCTAACTATCTTTTTTTTATTATTTTCTGTTCTTGCATTTGGTGGTTTGTCTGGTGATTTGTATAAACTCGGGATTTTTATCTGGTTAAACTCGCATTTTTAATATCAATTCTTCTAACACATATATATGTACTGTGATGTGATTCCGCAAATGGATAGGTAATTAAATAAGTGGATGGCCGCCTGGCCGGAGACTCGTCGGAGCGGGCGAGCGGTTTTGAAAGGTGGTTGAAGCGGCGATGGAATCTGCTTAATTTAATTTTAAAAGTTTATGTTTTTATATATATATTATCTCAATTTATTTTGAACAATATATAATTATGGATGAACATGATAATATCATAATAATAATCAATAATAGTAACAGTACTAATGAAAAATGACATTGCATGCATAAATGCATTGTAGAGTACAAACATAAATGAAAGACGTCATTTGGGGAAACGCTGGATACCATACCAAAGCTGACCAATTAATTAATTAACGTAGGTGTTGGATAAAATCGATAGAAAGAGTAAAAACATATTGAAAACTGAAGTGATCGAAGACGTGTGTGATGCAAATGTATACCGCCCGATGAGTCGATCGGGAGCTAGCAAAAACAACAAAATATATATAGCTGGCCGGCCGGGCGCCGGATATTTAATTATGTGATCGAGCGATTAATTAATTTGGTCAGAGAATTGAATATACTATCACTTCCCCGGGTCAGCTTTCTTCTTCTTCTTGGGCATGTATATAATTACGAGCGCTACGACGCAGAGAAAAATGATTCCTGATGCAATGAATATGATTCTCATATACATTTTATTATGATGATTCGGCGGCGGCGGCGGTCCAAAAGTATAGACCCAGGGCGGCGTGCCTGCAGGAGGCGGCTGCTGATCATCCACCTTGGCGGCCGCATGCACCGCTTCAGCAGCATCAACCCCCGGCCACCGCCCTCCGGCAGGCACATTCATAAGCCACATCAACGTGCTCACTCCAATCATAATAACAAATAGTAGTGTCTTCATTTTCTATACTGCCCGCCCGCCCCTCAACTATTTACTGATAAATAATTCACTTCAAATATAATACGTAGTACTCCGTATGGTCGATGCCCAGCTACTAGTATGTTATTAATTCGTATATCTTTCTATTTCCACCTAATATGGGTGTGTTTATATATGCATAACAATAAGCTTGTGATTACGCCTGTTGTGACGACGCACCAGGCCAGGTTCATTACTTTCTATGGTCTTTTAGCTGGCACACAAATTTACGGACCACTTTATTATGTATATAGTCTTTTACCTAGGAAAAAATTTCCGGCACCACTCTATATAATCTTTTAGCTTGCAAAAAATTTACGGCATCACTTTTTTTTTGTAAAGTTGGTTGTGGATCAATGACCGGTATATTTGGGAGTTTGAGTCATGCTAAATTATTTATCATTTTGAATGAAGTACGGCACTGCCTGGACCCCAAGTTGGCTTTTGAGCTGAGCAAAGCCAGATTTCGCGAACTTGGGAGTTTGAGTCATGCTAAATTTATCATTTTAAACCTTTTCAAACCTTTTTATCATTTAATTTTGAGAATATTACCCGAAATGGGATTAAAAGGGTTTGAAAATTCCAAATTAAAATAGGACTGTCATGTTTTTATTCCCAAAATATGACTAATTACTACAATGTTTTGGTAGTACCAAAATTCAAACATGACAGTATTTTCCAAACTTGACAGTAATTACTCCTATTTTGGGAATAAAAAACATGACAGTCCTATTTTGGAATTTTCAAACTGTTTTAGTCGTATTTCGAGAACTTTCCCTTTAATTTTTTACTCTTCAAAAAATCTCAATTTGAAGGACTTAAAAATTGAACATTTGAAAGATTTTGGAGTTTTACAAGAACCTTCATCGCTTCAACTCCAAAATTAATCATTCCTATTTTTGTACTCTGAAACAAAAAAGGGAAACTCATAAATCTTCATCATCCTTCTCCTCCCCGGCCTCCAATTGTCAAAACATATTTTCAAACACATCCTAAGGGTAAAGTCTCATTTTTTTGGTTTTCTTCTTCGGAAATCATGATTTTACCGATATTACCGCAATTTCGGGAATTTGCCTTACAGTTTAGCAACCGAATGACAATAACATCAGTACATTTAATTAAGGTAGATTCTATGGTACCCTTAAGGTACCATACATTTGTCCACATAGACCAATTAGAATGATGCAGTTGAATTTTTTAAATCTAAATTAAAAATGATATAATGGTGTGGAACAGTACAATCAAGTGAATGGTAATTTAAGTACGGTACCATATTTTTTAAATGGGTATCAGAGTTGTTGCTGGCCAATGTAATTTAAGTCACATGAATATGAAAACATATACTCCCTACTTTTTTGTTAACCGTACTTGATGAGATGATCCCAATACTAAAAATCTAATCATAATTTCGTTTTTTCATCTTTAAAATTATGATTTTTATTCTTTTTCAATTGTCTTCTTCATCAAAATATTGATAATCTAAAGGATTTCTTTTTTCTTCATCTTCAAAATAAATTTAGGTTTTTATCCCTTAAAATTTATGTTTATTAACCTAAGGGTTTCCGAGTGTTACAAGAACCCTCCAAAATTGATGTTTATCCCTTCATCATTAGGTTTTCATAATTAAAATCACTTAAAATCTATAAAAAATTAAAATAGTTGAACATTTATTCATCATTTTGAACAGAGTTAAATTTATCATTTTATTAATTACCCTTCAAAAATTCCCAATTAAACATTTGAAGGGTTTCCGAGTGTTACAAGAACCCTCCAAAGTTAATCCTTTCAATTTTTGTACTCTCAAACAAAACGGGAGAACCATAAACCTTCATCATTCTCCTCCCCTCCAATTTTCAGAACTTATTCCCAAACACATCCTTAGGGTAAAGTCTCACTTTTTTGGGTTTTCTTCTATGGAAATCATGATGTTACCAATAGTAACACAAGTACATTTAATTAATTACCAAGTACTTCATGGTGATACTTTTTGAATTGCTGACCAATATTATTTGACTTAGTCACATGAATATGAAAAATAAGAATAATTACTTTTTTATTAACTTGATGAGGTGATTGCAAGTTGAAATTATGAAAAATTAAATTGTCATAAGCACTTCTTCATCGTCATCCAACAGCAGTTCATTCAGCGTAGGACTCAAGCCCATGTCGTCGTATTGGTCAATCAGTTTCTCCACATGCATGACCCCTACCTGCATTCGAAGAAGTCTCCCCGTCCTCGTCCTTTTGTTCACCGCTGATCTGCGCTTGGAATTCACCCGTCGCCATAGCCTCACATAGTCTGTCGATCGGCAAGCCTGAGCCGCACAAACTCGGCGGAAGTTCAAAACCCTACGAATAGGGAGAGCCGCCATTGTCACCTTATAAAAGTGATTAATGTTAAAAAGTTAAAGTTAGAGTGTTTGGTAAAAAAGTGATTTTTGATGTAATAATTTGTTAAAGTACAAATATATCCTTCCGTAAATTAAAAGAATTGGGCGAGGAGACCCAACCATCCCACCCCCTGTATATTCCCCATTCTCTTAAAATTTAATTTAATTGTCAAAACTTTATCTTCTCGCTATTTTTCTTTCTTTGTGTAGACCCAATTTGATTCTTCTTGTTTTTCTTTGACTGGAATTTGAATATAGAAATTCAAAGATGCATCTTTAAATTATGGCTTGAGTCTTGAGATGTCATGAAATTTGTGAAAACTCTGAATAAACATCAATTTGATCTCAAATTTGGAGATGGGAATCTTGTTGCGGTTGCAGTCGTATATATTGTGAAGCTATTGAAACGGTTGAGATGGAAGAAATCTTGCTTGAGATGCCAGTAGAGTGGTTGTGGGTGAAGCAACTGAAATGGCAAAGCGGATTGCAACTGACGAAGGGTGTTTTGGGTTTGGCCTAAAATGAGTGTCATTATAATTATCCTTGGAGTTCATTTTAATTACAAAAATACTTAGAAACAGAAGTTGATATATACTATCGTACTAGTTTCCAACTTTTAGATTTAAAGTGCTTTTTGAAATGGAAGTTGGTAATTGCAAACACCAGTTTCAGCTTTTTGAAAGTCAAAAGTTGAAAAGTGTTTTATGTAGTTGATGGATGGCGTATCTGGGGGTAGCTTAGGTGCTGTTCTGTTCGTCTTATTCTTATTACTTATTGCTTATTCTTATTTTATTCAGATCAGATCAGATCAGATCAGAAAAATTCAGATCAGATCAGATCAGATCAGAAAAATTCAGATCAGATCAGATCAGATCAGAAAGATTCAGATCAGATCAGATCAGATCAGAAAGATTCAGATCAGATCAGAAAGATTCAGATCAGATCAGACCAGATCAGAAACATTCAGATCAGATCAGAAACATTCAGATCAGATCAGATCAGAAAAGTTCAAACATGATTTATCATTTTTATTATTATATTAAATATTAATTATTATTATTAATATTGTTATTACTCTTATGATTATTATTATATAATTATTATTAATAATATTAATAATAATATGATAAAAAAAAGATATTAATAATAGTTATAATATTTTAATATAATAATAGTAATATAAATGCAATTGTTAAGAAGACTATTATTATTATTATTACAATATTATAATAATAATAATAATATGATTAATATTATTATAATATTATATTATAATTATATGTAATTATAATATTAATTACAATTATAATTCTTATAATTATAAGTATAATCAATTGTAATTATTATAATTATATCTATAATTAATTATAAATATAATTGTAATTAATGATAATTATAATAATTATAATTATAATTACAATCATAATTATAATTATGATTATAATTATAATTATAATATAATATTATAATAATATATTACTAATTATAATAATAATCATATTATTATTATATTATTGTAATAATAATATTATTATATTATTGTAATAATAATATTAATATAATAATATCGTTATAATAATATTAATTGTATTTATATTACTATTATTAAATTATAATATTATAATTAATGTTAATATAATTATAATTATTATTAATTATAATTATAATAATTATAATTATACTTATAATTATATTATAATTATAATTTATGATTATAATTATTATTTTTATTATAATTATTAATATTATTATTATTATTATTACTATTGTAATTATTTTACGGAGTAATTATAATAATATTGATAACTATAGTTACAATTATAGAGATAAATATTGTAATTATAATTACAATTATAATTATAATTTATTTAAATTATATTTGTAATTGCAATTATAATAATTATAATTATAATTATAATTATAATTATAATTATAATCATAGAAATATTCGAATCAGATCAGATCAGAAAGATTCAGATCAGATCAGAAGGATTCAGATCAGATCAGAAACATTCAGATCAGATCAGACCAGATCAGAAACATTCAGATCAGATCAGAAAGATTCAGATCAGATCAGATCAGATCAGAAAGATTCAGATCAGATCAGATCAGATCAGACAGATTCAGATCAGATCAGATCAGATCAGAAAAATTCAGATCAGATCAGATCAGAACTTAAAAAATTCAGATCAGAAACATTCAGATCAGGCGAAGAGAACAGCTTCTTATCCGAGGGGTTATTATGAGAATAACTTAGAGAAAAGTCAGAGCAAACAAGTAAGAGAGAGAGTCGATTGTATTAATGAACTCGAGATGTTCTGGGCCTTTACAAGAGGAATATGGGCTGCTATTTATAGCAGCAATAAATGCGATGAGAGCACACGTGTCAGTAATCTAACGGCCGAGGGGTCACCTCAATCAAAGTGGCACCGGCACTCGCATGTGCACCGCATTAAATGTGATGGTTGGACGTGACGCCGCATTAAATGCGGTGGTTGCTTGTTTCCAAAGGGAATCTTCGATGATGGAGCTGTTAGCCGAAGGCTCTCCCTGCGGCCGAGGACCATGTGTAGCTGAAGGCTTGGTTCAGCCAAAGGCTTCCCTGACGCCGAGGGCGTGAAAGTGCCGAAGGCTCTTGATTTCTGCCATTTTCTCTTAGTAACTTTGTATGCTCAAATCTGGTTGTCCTGTGAGTTTTGGAGC